GCGGGGTGGGGGGCGGGGGAGGAGGCACGTCGCCAAGGCGACGCGTTTGGGGGCATGGGATGGGGGGACGCGGTTTGGGGCAGGGGCCAGGAGGGGGGGTCTCCGTGGGGTCCGGAGGGGGGGGGACACGGGAGGGGGATGAGCCTGAGCATGTGCGCTGCGCGAGCGGGTGACAACGCCGACCGCGTCCTGGAGGGGGAGGGCCCGGGCTCGGGCTCGCGGCGGGGCGAGGACAGAGCCCCGAGTCTCCAAACTCTGCACACACGGGCGGGGGTGGGTGGGCAGCCGCCCGCGGCGACTTGGGAGTGGGAGGCTGGAGCCCTTCATCCCCGGGCCCTGGATCCAGGCTGGGGGCACTCGGGAATGGCCCGGGGAGCCGGGTCCCTCAGCTCTGCCTGGACAGAGGTCCGGGTGGCCAGCTCAGGGCACCGTCCCTGCTGTCCTGCACGCAGGGCCAGGCAGCACACCGAGTGCCCGGGCTGAGCCGGACGCTGGAGGTAGGCAGCGGCCCGAGAGGGCAGGGCGGGCTCCTTGCACCCTGCTGGCTGCTGCCGAGACCAGGTGGGCTGCCCAGGCCACCACCGGGGGGCAAGCAGAGCCTGTGCGCCCTGCAGAGCTAGGGACACACGAGTGGGGGGACGTCCTCGGGGACCTTCCTCACCCTCCACAGGGCCACCACCCAGCCTCTAGCTGCCCCAGCCGCGAGCCCACAGCAGGCCCAGGCGCCCTGGAAGTTTCCGCCGTGTGCTGCTCTGGCTGAGGTCCCTGGCCGGGGTGGGGTGGGGGCACCCTGCCCCACAGAGGACGGGGGTGGAGGTCGCTCTGCCTGGCGGCTGAGGGCCAGGGGACACCTTCTGGTCCGGTTTGGCAGGGCGGAAAGAGGCAGCACCAAGCTCTTAGGGGCTGCAAGGTCGCACCCTGTTCTGGCCACCAAACCTGTTGGTGGCACCAGGAGGACCCTTTACGGGGAGGCAGTGACTTCACTCTCTGCCGGGGCTGCCTGAGGTTCTGGCCTTAGGGGTTCTGGCCGGGTTTCTTTCCCTTCCTGCTTCCTCTCGGGCCGGCCGCCCTCCCCTCTGCCCGTCCTCTCCAGAGAAGCCCTCCCCGGGGGTCCGGGTCCCCAGGTCCCCGCAGACCTGGGTGACCCCTGGGGGCGTGTGGGACAGGGTCTCTGCTCGTCGGCCACCCGGCCTGCAGGGAGCAGAGTCCTGCTTGTGCCCAGACTCAGCCAACACGGCGACTCCAGGGATTCGAGTCCAAACGCAGCCCACAGGGTGTTGTTCCCACGCCCTGGGGGACTCCATGGCAAACCCAGAGCCTTCGCCCTGAAAAACTGCTCCCTTCCATGGACATCCTGGCCCTGGCTAGGGTCCCTGGGAATCGCTGAGGGTCCCGGGGACTCCAAGATGAGGCCGGGGTGCCTCGGGGGAGGGCACAGTGTCCTGGCAGCGCGAGGTGTCAGGCCCTCGCTGTGCTGCGAGCCTGTGGCCGCCCCTGGGGGACATCGCTGATTTACTCCCTGCTCTTCGTGGCTGTGTGACCTTGGGCAAGGCGCTAAACCTCTCTGACCTTTGTCTCCGGCCTGTGAAATGGGAACACTGGCCACAATGATGCTGGCAGCAGGGATGAAATGTGAACGCCCCGGCCGGGGACTCAAAACACAGCGAGAGCCCGGGGCACGCTGGCGCAGATGGGCGGGCAGCGGGGAAAGCCCCCCGCCCCTCCGCCGCCCGGGAGCCACCTGCGGTCTGTCCCCTCCTCCCCACCCCCTCCCTGCCCAGGGCACCTTAGGACGCGGCTGCCAGGCGAGGAGGAACATGGCAGACACACGGCTGAATTTGGCCCGTGCGCTGGGAGGCTGAGTCACATCCCCAAATTGCATCTCCACCGGTGCGTTTCCGAAGGTCATTGGCGAGGCCTCTGCGGCCCCCGCCCCTCCTGCCTGCGCCCCCAGCCCCAGGCGGGGACCTTCTGCGCCCTGGCGGGGAGGGTGGAAGGGGTGCGGAGCTTCCTGGCCGCCCCCAGGCCAGGGCAGAGTCGGGGGGCGGGGGTCCCTGCGGGCATCCTGGCGCCAGCCCCGCCGGGCCCTGCGGGAGGCGGGAGGGGTTCAAGCCTGGGTGGAGACTGCCCACCGAGTGCGCGCGGGGCTGCAGGAACTTCAGCACCAAGGTCAGCGCCAGGCACGCGACCCGCTGGACACGTGGGAGGCCGGGCCTCCGAGACCGTGAAGGGCTGGACACGCGGGAGGCCGGGCCTCCCAGACCGTGAAGGGCTGGACACGCAGGAGGCCGGGCCTCCCAGACCGTGAAGGGCTGGACATGCAGGAGGCCGGGCCTCCGAGACCGTGAAGGGCTGGACACGCGGGAGGCCGGGCCTCCCAGACCGTGAAGGGCTGGACACGCGGGAGGCCGGGCCTCCGAGACCGTGAAGGGCTGGACACGCGGGAGGCCGGGCCTCCGAGACTGTGAAGGGCTGGACACGCGGGAGGCCGGGCCTCCCAGACTGTGAAGGGCTGGGCACGTGGAGGCCGGGCCTCCCAGACTGTGAAGGGCTGGACACGCGGGAGGCCAGGCCTCCCAGACCGTGAAGGGCTGGACACGCGGGAGGCCGGGCCTCCCAGACCGTGAAGGGCTGGACACGCGGGAGGCCGGGCCTCCCAGACTGTGAAGGGCTGGGCACGTGGAGGCCGGGCCTCGTAAACTATGAAGGGCTGGACACGCGGGAGGCCAGGCCTCCCAGACCGTGAAGGGCCGGACACACGGGAGGCCGCAGGCGGATGAGGGGAGCGAGGAGGCAGGGGCAGGGTCCAAGCCTCCTGAGGTCACCCGGCCTTGGCAGGGGCGGTCATTGCCCTGTGGGTGCAGACACCCGGATCCGGGGACTCGTGGAGAGGGGGGACGTGGTGCCGGGGCCAGACTTGGGCACGAGCGGCCCTGCCGTGTGAGCAGCGGCCACGCTCACTCGTGCCGCCCGGCGGTGCAGCCCACCTTGGCGTGGCCTAGCGTGACGGCCTCCGTGTCCGTGCCCCCTGAGTAGGTGGGAAGTGTCCTGCCTGTGCCCGCGGCCACTGCCCACGCCCTCCTCCCAGGCCTGGCACCCGGGACCCCGAATGCAGCCGGTCTGGCCTCCTCCAAGGGGACAGCCCTTGGCCCCCACCTGCCCGCGCCCGGCTTGCTGGGACAGTCTCGGCCCTGTGGGGAGACAGCACGACTTTGGGCGGGCTCTCAACCCCGTGCCTCGGTTTCCCCGTCTATGAGTCTGGCCAAATCCCAGGACTCCCTTCCCAGGGCTGTCGTGAGGGTGAGGGAGGACGGCTGTGCGGGCAGAAGCGGGTGCAGAGCAGATGCTCATCCAACTCGGCTGGGCGGGTGGGGGGAGCCGGGGCTGCCCGGGAGGGCCTGGCCCGGGCGGGGCAGGACCCGGCGAGACTCCAGACGGCCTGTTCGGTGCCCTGGCGAGCCGCTGTGTCACCGTCGGCCGGTCCCTGCTCCCACTCGTGGTGCCATGGGACACTGCCTTGTGATCCGCTAGTTTGTCGGGGAAACTGAGGCTTGCCCGAACTCACAGGGCTGGGCCACACTTGTCATACGAGCACCCGTGCAATCAATTCTGGGCTCCTAGTGTTTTTCTTTTCTTTTCTTTTCTTTTCTTTTCTTTTCTTTTCTTTTCTTTTCTTTTCTTTTCTTTTCTTTTCTTTTCAGACAGAGTCTCACTCTGTCGCCCGGGCTAGAGTGAGTGCCATGGCGTCAGCCTCGCTCACAGCAACCTCAGACTCCTGGGCTCAAGCGATCCTCCTGCCTCAGCCTCCCGAGTAGCTGGGACTACAGGCATGCGCCACCACGCCTGGCTCATTTTATCTATATATATTAGTTGGCCAATTAATTTGTTTTTTTTATTGATGGCAGAGACGGGGTCTCGCTCAGGCTGGTTTCGAACTCCTGACCTTGAGCGATCCTCCCGCCTCGGCCTCCCAGAGTGCTAGGGTTACAGGCGTGAGCCTCCGCGCCCGGCCCTGGGCTCTTAGTGTTAAATCCCAGATGGCCACGTTGGCCCTGGAGTCTGCCTAGGCGGGAGGCAGCCTCCGGTCTCTGTGGCCACCCCCGGCCATGGCCCCCGTGTCCGCTCCCTGCGCCTGCCCAAGTGGGAGGCCCAGTGGGAAGAGGTTAACCCAGCCAAGAGATGGGGAGGCTGGGAGGGGGCGAGGCCAGGTGGGAACGGCCCTAGGGAGCCACAGGAGGTCCTTGAGCAGGGGAGAAACACCTCTGAACCGTGCGCTCAGTCTGCCGTCTACAAGCCAGCCGCCGGCTTCCATCTGGTGGCGTTCGGCAAAAGTTTTGTTTTCGTTTGAGACAGGGTCTCACTCTGCCACCCAGGCCGGAGTGCAGAGGTGTGACCGGGGCTCACTGTAACCTTGAACTCCTGGCTTGCAGCGGTCCTCCCGCCCCAGCCTCCGAGAGTGCTGGGATGGCAGGTGCAAGCCGCCCGACACAGCGCTGGGTGCTTGCAGGCACAGAGCGGCAGGCGAGGGCGGGCGCTCTGGGCGGGCAGAGGGTGCAGCCCCTGCAAAGGCCCCGAGGCAGGGAGCAGCCCGCTGGGCTGGGGGCTCGTGGCGGGCGGGCGGCCCGTGTGGCTGGAGGGAGTGTGCCGGGCGGGAGGGGAGGGGGGAGGATGAGGCCGGTGGGAGCCAGGCCACAGGCGGCAGCGTCTGGCCGCGTCGTGGAGGAGTTTGGTTTGTCAGCGGGACAGGACGGCCCTAGGGAGCCATGGGAGGTCTCTGAGCAGGGCAGGGGTCCCGGCCGGCCTGGGTGTGTCTGGGACGGCAAAGCCACGCGTGGGCGCTGCGGGCTGGTGGCCTCCCAGGGGAGCTCCGAGGCTGAGCGTGCGGCGTGACGGCCCCTGCCCCTCTGGCCGGCCGGCGGGGCTGCCGTGACCCCGCATCCCTCTGTGCCCTGCAGGTCGGCGAGGGAGCCCCGCCGCCGCGCCATGCCGGGCCCCGGCCCCGCGCCCGGGTGGCCATGAACAGCCACAGCCACAACGGCAGCGCGGGGCGGCCGCTGGGCGCCCCGGGCCGCGAACCCCCGGACCCCGAGGCCGGCCGCCCCGCGCAGCCCCCGCACGGGCCCGGCCTGCAGGTGGTGGTGGCCAAGAGCGAGCCGGCCCGGCCCGCGCCCGGCAGCGCCCGGGGGCAGCCCCAGGACCAGGACGAGGAGGACGAGGAGGAGGAGGAGGATGGGCCGGGCGGGCAGGGGCGCTCGGGGAGGCCCCCCAGCGCGGGCCACCGCCTGGGCCACCGGCGGGCACTGTTCGAGAAGCGCAAGCGGCTCAGCGACTACGCGCTCATCTTCGGCATGTTCGGCATCGTCGTCATGGTGACGGAGACGGAGCTGTCCTGGGGGGTGTACACCAAGGTAGGCGCCCCCACCCTGCACCCCCGGGAGGCCCCTGGGCCGGCCCGGCGCCCCTGGGCGTGGGTCGGGCTGCGGCGGCCCCCCAAGACGGGCAAGGGGTGCCTGGGCGTCTCGGGAGGGGGGTCCCGCCCCCCGCATGCCGCCCCGGGCGTGGGGACCTGCACCCCGTGCCACCCCGTGCGCCAGGCCGAGCGGCATCGGCCTGTGAACATGAAGTGCTGTCCCCAGTGAGACGGCCTCAGACACTGCGAGGTTCCGTCCCTGTGACGCCCGGCCCGGCGACAGCTCTGAGAAATGCCGGGCTCGGCTGAGTCCACAGCAACTGTGGGGCGCTGCGCCTGAGTCAGCCCAGGCCTTGTAAACTGTGGAGCGCTGCGCCTGAGTCAGACCAGGCCTTGTAAACTGTGGGGCGCTGCGCCTGAGTCAGCCCAGGCCTTGTAAACTGTGGGGCGCTGCGCCTGAGTCAGCCCAGGCCTTGTAAACTGTGGAGCGCTGTGCCTGAGTCAGCCCAGGCCTTGTAAACTGAGGAGCGCTGTGCCTGACTCAGCCCAGGCCTTGTAAACTGTGGAGCGCTGCGCCTGAGTCAGACCAGGCCTTGTAAACTGTGGAGCGCTGCGCCTGAGTCAGCCCAGGCTTTGTAAACTGTGGAGCGCTGTGCCTCTGTCAGCCCAGGCCTTGTAAACTGTGGAGTGCTGCGCCTCAGTCAGCCCAGCCCTTGTAAACTGTGGAGCGCTGTGCCTGAGTCAGACCAGGCCTTGTAAACTGTGAAGCGCTGTGCCTCTGTCAGCCCAGGCCTTGTAAACTGTGGAGCGCTGTGCCTCAGTCAGCCCAGCCCTTGTAAACTGTGGAGCGCTGTGCCTGAGTCAGACCAGGCCTTGTAAACTGTGGAGCGCTGTGCCTGAGTCAGCCCAGGCCTTGTAAACTGTGGAGCGCTGTGCCTGAGTCAGCCCAGGCCTTGTAAACTGTGGAGCGCTGTGCCTGAGTCAGACCAGGCCTTGTAAACTGTGGAGCGCTGCGCCTGAGTCAGCCCAGGCCTTGTAAACTGTGGAGCGCTGTGCCTGAGTCAGCCCAGGCCTTGTAAACTGTGGGGCGCTGTGCCTGAGTCAGACCAGGCCTTGTAAACTGTGGAGCGCTGTGCCTGTGTCAGCCCAGGCCTAAGCAGTAAGGACGGGAGTGTCACCTCCCGAGTGTGGCCCAGCCGTGAGGAAGCTCTTTCACACGCAGCGGCCCCAGGACCGGGGACCTAGCGGGAAGCCGCAGGGGGGAGCCCGGGGGCCGGGGCGGGGCGGGCACCTTCTCGGGGTCTCCACCCGTCTCCCGTCTCTCCCCGCACAGGAGTCTCTGTACTCGTTTGCACTCAAATGCCTCATCAGCCTCTCCACCGTCATCCTCCTGGGGCTCGTGGTCCTGTACCATGCCCGCGAGATCCAGGTCAGTGCCCAGCGGACGGCGGCGGGCGGGGGCCGCTCCTCTCCCCGCACCCCGAGCCCCCTGGTCCCCAGCTTCCCAGAGAAAGCCATGCCTGTGCTCCCCGTAGGAGAACTCTGGATTCCCTCGGGGGCCCACACTGTAAGCAGGAGGCCGAGCGGGACTCTGGGGCAGGCCAGTTGCTTGCACGCCCTGGGGCTGCTGCGGGTTTGCAGCCCTGGAGACAGGGGTTTGCGGCACGGGGCCCCTTTTGCAATTGGACGGGAACCCGAATTTTTTTTTTTTTTTTTAAGACTTGAAAGGTTGCCCAGGCTGGAGTGCAGTGGCTATTCGTGGGCGCGATCACAGCTCAGCGCAGCCACCAACTCCATGGCTCAAGCGATCGCCCTGCCTCAGCGTCCCCACTGGCTGGGACTACAGGCACCTGCCGCCACCGTGCCCGGCTTTGGAGCCCGATTTTTTAGAGATTCAGTGCGTGCCGGGGAGTTTGTTCTCCTCTTTCAGGGCTTAATCAAAATCAAGTTGGCAGCGGGAGAGCCCAGCTCAGGGCACCTTGGACAGACGTCACCCGGGGCTGGTGCCAGAGTCTGGGGACAGCAGCGGGCGTTGGATCTGGCTCCTGACCTCTGGCCTCTGATCCCTGACCTCGAGGAGCCACGGTCTGGCGGGCAATGGGTGTAGGAAAGTCCCGCCTGCGTTACGCTGCGTGCAGATGTCTTTGGGTGCGACCCACGGGGACAGGAGCCTGACAGCCCCTCAAATAGTTAAAGTTACCCTATGGCCTGGCAGTTCCTCTCCTAGCTACATACCCGAGAGGGATGGGATCCTTCATCTGTGGGAAAACTTGCACACGAGCGTTTAGAACACCATTCACAGTAGCCAGAAAGTAGGAACAATGTCCCAACGTCCAGCAACAGGCAAGCGGCTAGATACAGCGTAGCGCGTGTGTACGATACAGCGTAGCGCGTTCCTACAATACAGTGTAGCGTGTTTGTACGATACAGTGTAGCGTGTTTGTATGATACAGTGTAGCGCGCTCCTACGATACAGTGTAGCACGTTCCTACGGTACAGTGTAGCGTGTTCGTACGATACAGTGTAGCGCGTTTGTACGATACAGTGTAGCGTGTTCGTACGATACAGTGTAGCATGTTCCTACGATACAGTGTAGCGTGTTTGTACGATACAGTGTAGCGTGTTCGTACGATACAGTGTAGCGTGTTTGTACGATACAGTGTAGCGCGCTCCTACGATACAGTGTAGCACGTTCCTACGGTACAGTGTAGCGTGTTCGTACGACAGAGTGTAGCGTGTTTGCACGCTGTAGCGTCAGCCCGCCGGGTTGGCCTGGGCTGTCGTCGCAGGGTGGCAGCTCACAGCTTGGAGACTGGACGCCTGAGGTCCAGGTGAGCCGGCTGACTTCTCCTGAGGGCCGCGGGGGAGAACCTGCCCCAGACTCCGCCCCTGACTCCTGGCCGGGGACGCCAGCAATCTTTGGAGTTCCCTGGCCTGGGAACACATCACTGGCATCTCTGCCCGGAGGTTCACGTGGCTCTTCCCGTGCGGGAGCCTGTGTCCAAATCGGCCCTTTGTAGAGGGACTCCGCTCCTACTGGATCAGTGATGTCACTTCATTTATTTATTTATTTATTTATTTTTAACCTACTGACTTGCGCAGAAGGCAAACATGTGATGTCACTTTATTATTTTTTTTTATTTTTCATTTTATTTTTTGAGACAGAGTCTCACTTTGTTGCCCAGGCTAGAGTGAGTGCCGTGGTGTCAGCCTCGCTCACAGCAACCTCAATCTCCTGGGCTCAAGCGATCCTCCTGCCTCAGCCTCCCGAGTAGCTGGGACTACAGGCGTGCGCCACCATGCCCGGCTGATCAGCCTCGCTCACAGCAACCTCAATCTCCTGGGCTCAAGCGATCCTCCTGCCTCAGCCTCCCGAGTAGCTGGGACTACAGGCATGCGCCACCATGCCCGGCTGATTTTTTGTATATATATATATATTTAGTTGGTCAATTAATTTCTTTCTATTTTTGGTAGAGACGGGGTCTCGCTCAGGCTGGTTTCGAACTCCTGACCTTGAGCAATCCGCCCGCCTCGGCCTCCCAAAGTGCTAGGATTACAGGCGTGAGCCACCTCGCCCGGCCTGATGTCACTTTAAATCGGTGACACTTGTAAGGACCCTGTCTGGCAGCGAGGGCGCGTGCCGAGCTGCAGCCAGGGGGCTAGGCTGCCACCGGGTCTCTCCTGAGGGGAGCACGCTGCAGCCGGTGGCCAGTTCCGACACGCGCTGCAGGGACGGAGGCCAGCAGTACGCCGCCGCCCGGCGAGGGAAGGCAGACGACAGGCCGCGCGGCGTGGCCCCAGGGACGCGGAATGTCCCGAGCGGGCAGGCCCACGGAGCCAGGCGCAGATGGGTGGCTGCCAGGGGCTGGGAAGTGACCGCCGACAGGGACGGGTGTCCCTTTGGGGTGGCGGAAATGTTTAGGGTCGCTGTAGACAGGGGTGGCGTTTGCACAGCGCCATGAGTGTGCTGAACGCCACTGATCTGCACGCCTTGAACGGGAGAATTGTGGGACACGCGACATATATTTCAGGACAAAACAGCCCAGTGGGGCTGCTTCTGAGGGTGCCGGGGAAACGCCCAGGGCGCGGGCGCACAGTGGGACCCCTCCCGCCGGAGCCAGGGGCCTGGGCGGGAGGCGCTAACCTTGGCGCTGAGCAGACGGGAGTGACCAGAAACTCAGCTGTCAGGATAAATATTATTTTAATGTGGCATTTACAAAAAATCTAAATAAATGCCAGAAAATTCCGTGATGAGCCAAGATCAGCATTTACATTAAGAGGGCGGCAGGATGATTCTCAAGGCCACCCTTCGCCTGCGGCTCCACACGGCCGTCCCGGCGCTGTGCACACGCTGAAACCGTGAGGTGTCTCGGGGCTCCTCCCCAGCCCTGAACACGGCCGGGTCCCCTTCAAGGCCCCAGGGGTGCGGCGACGCCAGGCGGCGTGTCCTTGGCGCCCACGCTCCTCGGATGCACTCGCGGAGGCGGCCCTAGAACGAGCGGCCGCCACGACATTTTAGGGAAGTGATTTTTTTTTTTCTGTTTCCTTATTTTAGAATGACTTTATTGCTTCTTGTTTTAAAATGAGACGTGAAAAGGGGAAAAATCGATTCTTGTGAGTCATACACGCGTTCGGAAGGCCGGGCGCGGCGGCGGCTCACGCCTGTATAACGCCCGCACTTTGGGAGGCCCAGGTGGGAGGATCGTGCTTGAGGCCAGCCTGGGCAGCATAGCAAGACCCCATCACTACAGAAAAATTTTTAAAAATTAGCCAGGCATGTAGTTCAGTGGCATTCGTACATTCACAATGTTGTGCAACCGTCAACTCTGTCTAGTTCCAGAACATTCTCACCCCCCTAAGAGGAGACCCTGTCCCCATAGGCAGTCACTCCCCTGTTCCCCCTCCCCCCACACCCCGGCAGCCACCCATCTGCTTCCCGTCTCTGTGGGTTCACCTGACCCCCTCCACTCCCCAAAGCCCCCCAAATCTCAGCCCGTCCCGGCATGGGGCCTCAGCCCACAGCCTCTTCTCGGCCCCACCTCACCCAGCTGGGGGGCCTCGAGGGCTGGTTCGCCCCGGGACAAAATCCTCTGCAGAGGCCAGCCCGTGAGGCCGGCCGGGTGGGCTCCACGCCCCCACCCGCAGTGCCAGGCCAGACACAGGGGCCGCGAGGGGAGGGGACAAGACGCAGGGGACAGGCAGACCCCACGCAAGCTCAAAGCCCAGCAGGCCCCGTGCCGTCGCACCCTCGGGCTCTTGAGTCCTCCTTCCTGGTCCCACGTTCCACCTCCCGCGGGGCCCCTGGGGCCGGGTGACTGTGCTGCCCCCGCCGCCCTGCACGGCCGCCTTTTGTGGCTTCTCTCATTCGGTGTGTGTTGTTTTCTTTTTTTGTTTGTTTTTCTTTTTGACACAGAGTCTCACTCTGTTGCCCGGGCTAGAGTGAGTGCCGTGGCCTCAGCCTCGCTCACAGCAACCTCAGACTCCTGGGCTCAAGCGATCCTCCTGCCTCAGCCTCCCGAGTGGCTGGGACTACAGGCATGCGCCACCATGCCCGGCTACTTTTTTCTATATATTTTTAATTGTCCAATTAATTTCTTTCTATTTTTAGTAGAGACGGGGTCTCGCTCTTGCTCAGGCTGGTTTCGAACTCCTGACCTCCAGCGATCCTCCCGCCTCGGCCTCCCAGAGTGCGGGGATGACAGGCGTGAGCCTCGGCGCCCGGCCTCACTGGGCATGTTTTGGAGGTTCCCCCAAGTCGTAGCGTGCAGGGCCGCGTCTCTGTCCGTCTCTGTGGATGGAAGACACGTGCTGTGTGGCCCCCAGCCGGGCGCCGCCGGTGCAGTGCGCACGCGCGTTCCCCCGCCCGCGCGGGTTTCCCTGCGTAGCCGGCTTCCTCCCGCGCCCGCGGCCCTGTGCTGATGAATCGGCACCTGTGCTCGGGCCGCCTGAGCGAATGTCGGGGTGTGCGTGCGTGTGCGTGCGCCCTGCGACCGGCCAGTGACGTCCAGGGCTGGTGCCCGCGTGGCACCTGGGCAGCCGGGCTAGGCTCCAGCCGCCCGAAACCCTGCACTGCAATTTTTTTTCATGTATTTTTATTTTTATTTTATTTTTTGACTAGCCACTATTATAACGAGGATCCCTCTTAGATGACATTTTGGTTGCATCTGTTTGTCTTACGGAGAAAGTCTCCGATGGATAGGCCGTCTTGAAGGCCTAACAGTTGCCAATGTTTTCCTTCCGACAAAGGAGATCAGGCAGGGCTGTATCCAGCAAAACTTTAATCACCTCGTTCCAGTCTTGCTTGAGCGGCTGAGACTTAGCTGGGCCCCCTAGGACTCTGAATTTCTGGAGCTTCCAAATTTCTGAATTTGGAAGCAGAAGCTGCTTCGGAGCCCAAGTTCCTGACCTGCCCGCGCCCAGCCCCTAGCCCTACCAGCCTGCGCCTGCGCAGTGAAACGCGTTTGCTCCACGGACCCCGCAGCTTCGCCCTGGGCCGCGTGCGCGGCGCCTGCGCCCTGGATCCAATCGTCCCCAAAGTAATCCTCACACTGCGCCTGCGCGTAGGTGCGCTGTTTTTGTTTTTGGTTTTTTTTTTTTTTTTTATGGCTCCCCCACGCATGTACGTACAGCTCCCGTTTATTTCAACACCAAATGTTAAAAAAGTGCGTTGGGTCTTTACTTAGGAGGTTGTGGATGTTTTTGTGACCGTCAGCCTTTGGGAAAGTCGGTTCCCTTCCGTACCGTTTTGCTAAACGTCGCAGTTCCCGAAAACGCGTCGGCGACGTTCAGCGACGTTCAGCGCTTCAGCGTTCAGCGCTTGCTGTGCCGCGCGAGACGCGCCCGCGTCCGTGGGGCGCTCGGGCTGCGCCCGCTCTGACTGCGAAGGTGTCTGCACGCGGCCTTGCCGGGCACCCGTCTTCATCCCCTGCTGGGCTCACCTCTCCTCACCCCGCGGCTAGGAGAGGGGCTGCCAGGCCATCTGTCCAACTTTTGGGGGGACCCCGTGGGATCTTTAGTCTCCATCGTGGCCAATGCCAAGAACTAGGGAGTTTTTTAATTTTTTTGAGACAGAGTCTCATTCTGTCACCCCGGCTAGAGTGCCGTGGTTTCAGCCTCGCTCACAGCAACCTCTAACTCCTGGGCTCAAGCGATCCTCCTGCCTCAGCCTCCCCGAGTAGCTGGGACTACAGGCATGCGCCACCATGCCCGGCTCATTTTTTTCTATATATATCAGTTGGCCAGTTAATTTCTGTTTATAGTAGAGATGGGGTCTCGCTCTTGCTCAGGCTGGTCTCGAACTCCTGACCTCGAGCGATCCTCCCGCCTCGGCCTCCCAGAGTGCCAGTGTTACAGGCGTGCGCCACCGCGCCGGGCCAGAACTAGGGGGCTTTGCCCGCACCGTCCTTCCCTTGGCAGAGTCCGGGCTGGCGGGTCGGGCCGCGGCTGGGAGCGGGGCCTGGCCGCCGCCCGAAACCCAGCGCCGCCCCCGCCGCCCGCAGCTGTTCATGGTGGACAACGGCGCGGACGACTGGCGCATCGCCATGACGCGCGAGCGCGTGCTGCTCATCTCGCTGGAGCTGGCCGTGTGCGCCATCCACCCGGTGCCCGGCCACTACCGCTTCACGTGGACCGCGCGCCTGGCCTTCACGTACGCGCCGTCGGTGGCCGAGGCGGACGTGGACGTGCTGCTGTCCATCCCCATGTTCCTGCGCCTCTACCTGCTGGGCCGCGTCATGCTGCTGCACAGCAGGATCTTCACGGACGCGTCGAGCCGCAGCATCGGCGCGCTCAACAAGATCACCTTCAACACGCGCTTCGTCATGAAGACGCTCATGACCGTCTGCCCCGGCACCGTGCTGCTCGTCTTCAGCATCTCCTCCTGGGTCGTCGCCGCCTGGACCGTGCGCGTGTGCGAGAGGTGCGCCCGCCCCGCCCCGCCCCCTCCTCTCCTCCCAGCCCCCACCCCCACCCTCCACCCCCTACGGACATCCCCCACCTCCCCCATCTCCCACTCCCCCATCCCCCACCTCCCCCATCTCCCACTCCCCCATCCCCCACCTCCCATGGGGACTTCGGGGGGCCCCAGGCCTCCCCGACTCTGAGACACACCCTGTGGTCTCAGTTGGTGGCAGCATCCCTGGGGACTGCAGCCCTGTGTCCTCACCCCCCCACCTGGGGAGGGGGGCCCTGCTCTCTCCCCGGCCCTCCCCAGGGTCTCACACTCCTCCTTCTCCTCCTCCTCCTCTTCCTCCTCCCTTTCCTCTTCCTCCTCCCCTTCCTCCTCTTCCTTCTCCTCCTCCTCCTCCCCTTCCTCCTCCTCCTCCCCTTCCTCCTTCTCCTCCTCATCTTCCTCCCCTTCCTCCTCCTCCCTTTCCTCCTCCTCTTTGCGCGCCTCCTCCCGCCTGTCCCCCTCCTTCGCCTCCCCTTGGGCCGTTGCCTCTCGCTTCCTGCTCCCTTCTGCCCTCCTCCCTCCTCCCTGTTCCGTGCCTCTCTTCCTCCTCCTCCTGCTCTTCGTCCTCCTGCCCTCCTCCTCTCCTCCTCTCCTTCCTCTCCTCTTCCTCCTCCTCTCCCTCTCTCCCTCCCGTCTCCTCTCCTTCGCGCTCCTCCTCTCTTCTCCTCTTCTGCTCCTCCTCCTCTTCCTCCTCCTCCCGTCCTTCCTCCTCCCCTTCCTCGTCCTCCTCTTCCTCCTCCTCCTCCCCCCCTATGCTGACCTCCCATCTCCCGCCCTGGCGTTGGAGGCGGCGGGAACAGGGGCGCCCCCAGGCTCCTCTGCCCCGCCCCACGTTTAACCAGCTTTCCTTCTCCCCTGTGCCCGCCCCACCGGACTGTAGGGAGAACATGTGAGTCCCACTCTCCGCCCAGCTGTGCGCAGAGCTGCCACCGCCTCCTCCCTGCCCGCCAGGAATTTAAGATTAGCTGCCGGAGGGGAGGGCCGCGGGGGTCAGCCCGGCGGGCACCCTGTCCCGGCAAGGGCCGGCTGGGGCCGGGTCAGGCTGAGTCCCTGGGCCGAGGGAGGCAGGCTGCTGTGCGGCCGCGGCCACGGGCATCTCCTCCGAGCTTCGGGGACCCGAAGGCCGGCGTGGGGGGTGGAGGGACGGAGGCCCCGCACTTGGGGCCTGGCTTGTCCTCCGGCCAGCGCGCCGGTCTGCGGGAAGGGAGCTGCTCCCGACTTGAGAACCTCAACCCATCTTTTTTGTTTTTTGAGACAGAGTCTCACTCTGTCGCCCGGGCTAGAGTGAGTGCCGTCGGTTCAGCCTCGCTCACAGCAACCTCCAACTCCTGGGCTCAAGCCATCCTCCTGCCTCAGCCTCCCGAGTAGCTGGGACTACAGGCATGCGCCACCACGCCCGGCTAATTTTTTCTCTATATATTTTTAGTTGGCCAATTAATTTCTTTTTATTTTTAGTAGAGACGGGTCTCGCTCTTGCTCAGGCTGGTCTCGAGCAATCCGCCCGCCTCGGGTCTACCAGAGTGCTGGGATTACAGGTGTGAGCCACCTTGCCCGGCCACCTCAACCCATCTTACAGATGAGGAAACTGAGGCTCTGAGGGGGAAGGGACTTGCCTGGGGACCTGATTTCTGGTCGTTTCCAGAGACCGGAGGGCCTGGCAGGGCGTAGGAGGGGCCTTCTCTGCCTTGTGCCCAACCGGCGGGGTCCCCAGAGGGGCCCTGGGGGATCTGCGGTCGGGCCGCTGCGCCCGGCTCCCTGTCCTCCCCCCTTCGCCGGTCCTCCCCCGCCTAGGCCGGTGTCCGGCTAGCTGGAGGGCCCAGCCCCTGCCGTGTTCGCGGCCTGCCGTCCGGGGCGCCGGGTCTCCTGGAGCCCTGCTGTGACCGGGGCCAGTCCGCAGCCCTCGCCGTCGGGGCGGGGGCAGGAGGGGCGCCGTACGAGGTCCAGGCGGGGTCATGCAGGGCTCCGCCCACCGCTGGGGGTGGGGACGGGGCGGGGCCGGCGGGCAGCCAATCCTAAATCCTGAGCCCCGCGACAGCGCTTGAAGCCCCGCCCCTGCCTCGCTCCGCGCCCCCCCTGCCCGCCCCCCTGCATGCCTCCCCGCGCCTGCTCCCGCGTGGCCCCGCGCCCCCAGTAGCTCCCGCCAGGCCTGGGGCGCACTCGGCCACCTGCTCGGCCCCGCCCCTCCTGCCCCCTGCGGGGCGGGGCCGCGTGGCGCTCGGAGGCCCGGGTGTAAGACGGGTTCGGGGCCTGGAACCCCCCCCCCAGCGAGCGGCCAGGGACGGCCGGGCTGGAGGGGCTGGAATGCGTCCGGCCCTCGCAGGGGCAGGGACCCCAGACAGCCGATTTCAGGGTTGTTCCCCCTCCGCTCCCCTCCATCCCGGGGGCTCCGTCACCCGCTCCCCGAAACTGCCCCTTTGTGCCCGGGCCGGGGCTCCGCCTCCGACCTCGAGCCCCCGGGTGCTTGTGCCCCCCACGGCGGCCTGCGCCCCACGCCCTGCGTGCTGGGAAGGAGACGGCTGTCCCCGGAAAGGGCCTCCCGCGGCGGGACAGGGGGCCAGAGGGGCCAGCCCCGGGGTCTGGGGAGGGGCTGAGCTGAGCAACCCCTGGGCCTCCAGCCCGGCCCAGCCCCGCCCTGTGGCCGAGTCCCAGCCCTGGCTGTGACCGGGACTAAGTCGAGTCATTTCCGAGGCCTGGGGGCCTGTCCCCCCAGATACCAGAGTAGAGCCCCAGGCCCCCCACGGTGCCAAGGCAGCTGCCTGCTGGCGCTAGGGGCTCGTGTTCCCTCCACATCGAGTCCCGGGGTGCTGCCGCCCCCACCCCGTCTCCTAACGGCCCTCAGCACTGGGGGGGGAGTTCCTCCTGGTGTCTGACCTGAGTCCTCGCCTCCACTCCTTGCTGCTTCTGGCGCTGCGGCCGCCTGTCTCCCCGTCTGTCTGTGTGTCTGTCTGGGGGGGGCGTGTGTTCCCTCGAGGTCGGAAGGGGTGCAGGGGGAGAGGGCGTGTGCCCCCCGCCCCCAGGGGCACCAGGCACCCGCAGCAGTCCCCGCCCTGCCCCTGAGGTCGTGGTGGCCGCGGAGGGACCCATGTGGGCTGACCGAGCCCCCCACCCCCCGCCCCGCCCCCCTCAGGTACCACGACAAGCAGGAGGTGACCAGCAACTTCCTGGGGGCCATGTGGCTCATCTCCATCACCTTCCTGTCCATCGGCTATGGCGACATGGTGCCGCACACCTACTGCGGCAAGGGCGTGTGCCTGCTCACCGGCATCATGGTAAGGGCCCGGGCCCCCCAGGGCCCGCCTCCCGCTGCGCCGGTGGCCCTTGCACACCCCCGCCGACGGGGAGCTCACTCCCATCCGTCCTGGCCTCAGCCCCGCCCTCCCCAGCCCTGCTCCTTCCCCCTGGTTCCCAGGGAAGCGGCACCCACGTGTCCCCCGTGGGCCTGTCCCCCAAGGGCCTGCCTGCCCCCATCCGCAGCCCCCACCCGGCCTGGCGGCCAGAGCTGTGGTCCACTCTGAGTGCAGTGTCCTCATCTCTCCTTTACTCTGCGAAGCCCGGTTTCTCTGCAGCCCTGGGATGCCGGGAGGGAGGGGGGGTTAGGGGGGCGGAGGGATGCTTAGACACCCCGCCCACCCCACCCGCACCGGGCCTCGCCCCCCAGCCCACATCTCCATCCTTGGCCGACTTTGGGGGTGCCCCCAAGTCTCCACACGGTAAAGTTTGTCTCGCGTGACTCAGTGGGCCCAGGCAGCACCCCATCTCCCCCCCCAAACCTGTCAAGTCTGCCTTCCCTGGATGTCTGGTGCCTGCCCCTTCCGGAACCTTCTTTCTCTCCAAGGGTCTTTCGTGCCCACACATGCTTGTTCCGTGTTTTGGGTCAGGAGCCCGCGGACGCACAGTCACGAACGCCTCTCCCCTCCTGGCCTGCCTCGGTTTCCACTCTGCCCCCGGCCCGGTCACTGAGGTCATTCTCGGAAAGTCAGCAAAGCCAAACGGGCCAAAAGAAGCCACCCTGGTCCCGTTCCCAGCGGCGGCCCTGCGCCCTGCCCGAGCGTGCCCTTCCTTTTCTCAGCACAGAGAGACTTGTCGTTAGTCCTTGCAGAAACAGGACCAACACTGTCCCTGCCACAGTGTCCTTCCTTTTTCTTTTTTTTTTTTTTTTTTTTTAAGACTATTGTGGTGCTCAATCCTTTCTTTTTCTTTTCAAGACAGGGTCTCACTTTGTCGCCCCAGGGAGAGTGCCGTGGGGTCATCACGGCTCAGTGCAGCCTCAAACTCCTGGGCTCAAGCGATCCTCCTGCCTCAGCCTCCCGAGTAGCTGGGACTACAAGTGTGCTCCATCGTGCCCTGCTAATTTTAACCCCCCGAAATTAATTGGCCAACTAAAAATATATAGAAAAAATTAGCCGGGCATGGTGGCGCATGCCTGTGGTCCCAGCTACTCGGGAGGCTGAGGCAGGAGGATCGCTGAGCCCAGGAGTCTGAGGTTGCTGTGAGCGAGGCTGACACCACGGCACTCTAGTCCAGGCAACAGAGTGAGACTCAGTCTCAAAAAAAAAAAACAACCCAAAAACAAATGAGCGAATGTCACCACCACCCGGATAAGACGACAAACCGAGACCCGGAGAGCCCGGGGCAGAACGGAAAAGCCCCGGGCCCTGCCTAGGACGGGGCTGTCAGGTGGCGGCTCCTCCGGGAGACCAGAGCCTCGGCCCGCGTTCAGCCCGGGTCCCGCGTGCGGCGGCCGCGCTGGGGTCCGCGTGGCTTCGCGCTGCCGCCGGCCGTTTCCCGCGACGCGGCTTCTCCTCGCTGGGTGGCGTCCCTCGCGCGGGTCCCGGCTGGTCGCTTTGTCCCCGCGGACAGGGCTTTTCCTGAGACCGGGCTTCCAGGTCCCCCTGCGCCCCTCGTCGCGGTCTGGAGCGGGATTCCTCGGGGCGCACCTGCTCCCGACCCGCCCGGCTCGCCGCACCTGCCGGTGTCCGGCGCTCACGGCCCCCGTTATCTCTCGCGGCACGGCGAGCCCCCCATTCCCGTCGCGAGACCCCTAAGTCTCCACGGGGAGACTCCCAAACGCGCCCGCCGCCGCGGTCCCCCCGGCCCGGCCCGCGCCTGCGCGTTGCCCGCCGCTCGCTGATCTCCGAGCCTCAGTTTACCCTCTCCCTAGCAGGGGCAGGGGCAGGGGCAGGGGCAGGGTTGGTGGCGCCGAGCTCATCTGCCGGCCCGCGCCCTCCGCAGCCGTGTCCAGGCTCCCGGGGCCCCGGGGCGGGTGAGATCGGGGCGGGCTTCCTGGTGGAGGGGGCAGCGCGCGCAAGACGCTGACGCCCCGCCCCCACGCAGGGAGCCGGCTGCACGGCGCTCGTGGTGGCCGTGGTGGCGCGGAAGCTGGAGCTCACCAAGGCCGAGAAGCACGTGCACAACTTCATGATGGACACGCAGCTCACCAAGCGGGTGAGGACCAGGGCTGCCCCCTGCCTTGCCCGCGCCCGCCGGCCACCGGCCCCCCGCGGCCCCACACCGTCCGGGCTCTGCCACCCGCCGCCCACCTGCAGGCCTTGGGCGCAGGGACCCGGCGATGACCACAGGTGTCCACCCGTGTGCCCGCTCACATCCAGCTGTGGCCAGCTCTCTGACCTCGGCAGGCTGACTGCTCCGTGCCTCGGTTTCCCCAGGTTGAAAGTGAGGGCCAAGTCTGCACCTGGACACTCACTGGGTTATCCGTGGTGCGGGCCGTGAACGTGTCAGGCACACGTGCACACACGCAGACGTGAGGGCATGAACCCCATCCCCCTGCCTTACAGTCTGGGCACCCGTTTCTGGGGGTTTCCAGAGGCTTCCGGAAGCTTCCAGAGGTTTCTAGAGCCTCCTGTGGGTTTGTGCCCAGACTGAGGCGGTGTCCTTTTCCCGGTCCCAGGTGAAAAACGCCGCGGCTAACGTTCTCAGGGAGACGTGGCTCATCCACAAATACACCAGGCTGGTGAGGAAGCCAGACCAAGCCCGGGTTCGGAAACACCAGCGTAAGTTCCTCCAAGCCATCCATCAGTAAGTCCAGCACCTTTGCAGCTCGCGTTTCTGTGTCCGCCCCGTGCGGAGCAGCCCCCGGAGCTCAGCGTGGCCCCGTCACGGCCCACGCCCCGGGCTGGGTGGCCGCCGGCTGGGGCCAGCAGCCTCTGTGCTGAGCGGGAGGGGAGGACCCTCAGCGGGAGGCAGGCCGTGGGCTCTGGTGCCACCCCTCGTAGGTGGCAGGAAGCCCGTTTTATTTTCTGGAATCATCACAATGATTTTTTTTTTGCCCTTTAGACGTTGAAGCAATTTCCCCTCTTTGCTTTGGCTGTCAGGAAGCTCAGAATTAAACCTGTGGCTTGATCTATAGAATCCTGTGGGATAATTAGAGATTACCTTGATTTCCTTCCTTGTTCCTTTTCCCAGAAAATTGCTCAATATGTGTGGGTCTCATCCCTTAGCTACTCATTGGAGTTACCTGGGGGGCTTTTATAAAATCCCAGGGGCCGGCCGGGCGCGGAGGCTCACGCCTATAATCCCAGCACTCTGGGAGGCCGAGGCGGGTGGATCGCTCAAGGTCAGGAGTTCAAAACCAGCCTGAGCAAGAGCAAGACCCCGTCTCTACTGTAAATAGAAAGAAATTAATTGACCAACTAAAATATACATAGAAAAAATGAGCCGGGCATGGTGGTGCATGCCTGTAGTCCCAGCTACTGGGGAGGCTGAGGCAGGAGGATGGCTTGAGCCCAGGAGTCTGAGGTTGCTGTGAGCGAGGCTGACGCCACGGCACTCACTCTAGCCCGGGCGACAGAGTGAGACTCTGTCTCAAAAATAAATAAATAAATAAAATAAATAAATAATAAATAAAATAAATAAAATATCCCAGGGGCCGCACCCAATACCAGTTACAGCTGAGTCTGAGATGCGCGCTGACCTGAAATTTAAGTTCCTCGGGTGAGCCCGGCGTGTAGCGAGAGTCGGCCGGCTTTTTCTGCAAGGGGCCAGATAGTAAATGTTTCCGGCTTTACGGGCCGGGCAGTCTTTGTCCCAGCCACGCAGCTCTGCGCTGTGGTAGCAGGGAAGCAGCGGGGATGAACGGGCATGTCCGCGCCCCACGAACCCTGAGTTTCCAAGACAGACACTGGGCTGCCTTGGGGCCACAGTCCACAGTGTACCCACCACGACTGCGCTGCCCACCGCAATAGCGTGTGAGCAACGTATGTAGCTTGAAACGTTCTTATATCCACATTTTTGAAAAGTAAAAAAAAAAAAAAAAAAAAAAACAACTCACAAGTGATGTAAATTTTAATGTATTTATTTAATCTAATACAAAGTATTATGTAACATATGAATAATATTTTAAAAATAATTAATGAGATTTTTTTTTTTTTTGAGACAGAGTCTCACTCTGTCGCCCAGGCTAGAGTGAGTGCCGTGGCGTCAGCCTTGCTCACAGCAACCTCCGACTCCTGGGCTCAAGCGATCCTCCTGCCTCAGCCTCCCGCGTAGCTGGGACTACAGGCATGCGCCACCATGCCCGGCTCATTTTTTCTATATATTTTTAGTTGGCCAATTAATTTCTTTCTATTTTTAGTAGAGACGGGGTCTCGCTCTTGCTCAGGCTGGTTTCAAACTCAACCTTGAGCGATTCTCCCTCCTAGGCCTCCCAGAGTGCTAGGATTACCGGTGTGAACCACTGCACCCGGCCATTAATGAGATTTTTTTTAAAAATGTTTGTGCTAGGCCGGGCGCGGCGGCTCACGCCTGTAATCTCAGCACTCTGGGAGGCCGAGGCGGGAGGATCACTTGAGCTCAGGAGTTCCAGACCAGCCTGAGCAAGAGCGAGACCCTGGTTCTAATAAAAATAGAAATCACTTGGCCAACTAAAAACACATAGAAAAAATGAGCCGGGCATGGTGGCGCATGCCTGTAGTCCCAGCTACTCGGGAGGCTGAGGCGGGAGGATCGATTGAGCCCAGGAGTTGGAGGCTGCAGTGAGCTGTGATGACGCCAAGGCACAGCAGCAGAGCAGGATGACGACATGTCTCTAGGGACAGAGTTCTGAAAGGCTTGTCCGGGCTGCTCCACGGCCGCCTCCCCCAGGGCAGCCCAGCCTGCAGCTCCTCCGGGCCCGCCTGTCTGTGGTCCCCTCCTGCTTTCCAGCCGGGGCCTTCCCGGGGGCGGGGCAGAGAGCTGGATCCTCTGGGCACCTGCCACACGGGGCCACATGGGGCTGAGCCTGTGCACAGGCGTGTCACCCGTGGGCAGCTGTCCGGAGACCAAGAGTGCTGAGGCCAAGTGTCGGGTGTGGGTTCGAATCCCGACAGGGTGTTGACGGGCAGTGGCTCTGCCCCTCTGGGCCTCAGTTGTCCCCTTGGGAGAGGGCATGGGCATAGTTTCCCGAACCAAACGCCACCTTGGGGGCCAGGGGCCTGGGGCGGGCTTATCCGGCGCACTGTGGGGCCTGGCCAGGGCCGTGTAGACGCTGCTGGAGTTGGGGCAGAGGACAGCCGCGACCCCGGGCCTGGGCCCCTCCACAGAGCAAGGGCAGCCCCCCCCACCCATGGTGACCCAGGGCGCCCAGCCCGGCCCTGGGGTGTCGCGGTTGGCAGCGGGCTGGGTCGGGCTCGTGCCACCCGGCCGCGCCGAGATTAAAATTGCCTTGTGGTTTCTTTCCTGCTGCGCTGGGCGCCGCCAGGGCTCAGAAGTAAGTCTCTCCGGGCGGGTGGGCGGCGGGCGGGAGCCGGGGCGCGGGGTGGTCACGGGCAGGGCGGCCGCCGTGGGCGGTGGCGGGAGGAATAGCCCCGAGAGCCTCAGCCTCCGTGCACGTCCCAGGAGGCAACCCCCGGCCGGTGCACGAAGCCCTCCCACCCCCGCCCTGCTGTGGCCTCATCTGACCCCCACCCCACCCCACCCGCCCGTCCCCAGGCTCCGGAGCGTGAAGATCGAGCAGGGCAAGCTGAACGACCAGGCCAACACCATCACCGACCTGGCCAAGGTGAGCCGCCCGGGCGGGCAGGGCAGGGGCTGGGGGGTCGGGCAGGGCAGGTGGGCCGGGGGGTCGGGCAGGGCAGGTGGGCCAGGTGGGGCCGGGCGGGGCAGGTGGGGCCGGGCGGGGCAGGTGGGCCAGGTGGGGCTGGGCGGGGCAGGGGGGCCGGGCAGGGGCCGGGGGACTGGGGGGGGGCGGGGACGGCCCAGCTCCCGCTGGGGGAGGGAACAACGGCCCACCACAGCCAGAGCCGCGAGTGTGAGGGCGACACTAGCAATCTACAGCGGCGTGTAGGACCTTGACTTCTTAACATTGGCAGCTGCTTTTTATTTATTTTTTATTTTTCTTTTCCACTGTGCAACCCGATTCAGTGCCGGGAGCCTGCGGGCACAGGCCAGGCAACGGTTCGGGGCCACAGTTTGCCCCGGCATGGGGCACCAGGAGAGGCCCAGGGGGGCAGGCCTGGCATAAATCCAAACCCATGCACGGCAGCCACTTTTTACTTTAAAAACTGGGGGGCCAGGCATGGTCGCTCACACCTGTAACGCCGTGACCCTGTTGCTTCAGGAGGCGGAGGCGGGAGGATCAGTGGAACCTAGGAATTGGAGACCAGCCTGGGCAACATAGCGAGATCCCGGCTCTGCAAAAAAAAAAAAAGAAACATTTAAAAATTAGCGGAGCGTGGTGGTGTGCGCCTGTAGTCCCGCTTGAGCTACCATCACACCACTGCACTCCAGCCTGGGCCACAGAGCAAGACCCCACCTCTACACAAAGATAAATAAATATAAGTTTTCGTCTCTAATAAAATAGTTTTAGGCCGGGCGCGGTGGCTCACGCCTGTCATCCCAGCACTCTGGGAGGCCGAGGCGGGAGGATCGCTCAAGGTCAGGAGTTCAAAACCAGCCTGAGCAAGAGCGAGACCCCGTCTCTACTACAAATAGAAATAAATTAATTGGCCAACTAATATATATAGAAAGAATGAGCCGGGCATGGTGGCGCATGCCTGTAGGCCCAGCTACTCGGGAGGCTGAGGCAGGAGGATCGCTTGAGCCCAGGAGTCTGAGGTTGCTGTGAGCGAGGCTGACGCCACGGCACTCACTCTAGCCTGGGCAACAGAGCGAGACTCTGTCTCAAAAAAAAAAAATCATAAGGAAGAGAAAATACACTGGCTGCTCCTTAAGGGGGAGTGGATCATGGGGAAGGTGTTCGCCCGTCTTCCTTGCCCTGCGTAGGCGGAGGAGGAGGCGGGGGGAGGGGTGGTCCGGGAGTGCCAGAGGCCGCGGAAAATGAGTGGGCCGGGCGGTGCGGACCGGGCGCTGCGGGCCAGCTCCAGCGGAGGGCCCGTGCTCAGGGCGCGCAGGGACCCTTGGCCAAGAATTCCATGTCCTACGAGATAAAAGGTATAACTAGAAAATGCCTTTGAAAACCTCAGTGTGAGCTGCCAGTGGCACGTTATAATTTGGGCCACCGTGGCACGCTTCTGTTAGTTAGACGACTGAAACTCGAAGTTTAAAAAGGTATTTAATAAACCTTTTCATCGTGGGGTATAACTCATCACAAAATACTTTTTTTTTTTTGAGACAGAGTCTTGCTCTGTTGCCCAGGCTAGAGTGAGTGCCGTGGCGTCAGCCTCGCTCACAGCAACCTCAGACTCCTGGGCTCAAGCGATCCTCCTGCCTCAGCCTCCCTAGTAGCTGGGACTACAGGCATGCGCCACCACGCCCGGCTGATTGTTTCTATATATTTTTAGTTGTCCAGCTAATTTCTTTCTATTTTTAGTAGAGACGCAAGGGCATCTCGCTCTTGCTCAGGCTGGTCTCGAACTCCTGAGCTCAAACGATCCTCCCGCCTCGGCCTCCCAGAGTGCTAGGATCACAGGCGTGAGCCACCGCGCCCGGCCCCACAAAATACATTTAACAAAGGCTTCTTTAATTGGATTGGATTATATGGGGCTTCTAATGTTTTTAATTTAACAAGGTTGAAAACTTTTTAATGTTTTTTTTGTTTTTTGTTTTTTTTTTTGAGGCAGAGTCTCGCTCTCTTGCCCAGGATAGAGTGCTGTGGTGTCATCACAGCTCACAGCAGCCTCAAACTCCTGGGCTCCAGCGATCCTCCTGCCTCAGCCTCCCGAGTAGCTGGGACCACAGGCATGCGCCACCTCGCCCGGCTCATTTTTACTATTTTTTTATAGAGACGGGGTCTCGCTCTTGCTCAGGCTGGTCTCAAACTCCTGAGCTCAAGCGATCCTCCTGCCTCGGCCTCCCAGAGTGCCGGGATGACATGCGTGAGCCGCCGCGCCCGGCCTAATATGACAGCAGAATGCTTTCCAAGGTTGCCAATTTAATATTTCTCTGACAAAAATAAGATGTATATATTCTAAGTTTAAAAAAAGAAAGTATCAGCCTGAGCAACATACCAAAAGGCATCTCTACAAAAAAAATAGAAAAAATAGAAAAATTAGCCGGGCATGGTGGCGCATGCCTGTAGTCCCAGCTACTCGGGAGGCCGAGGCAGGAGGCTCGCTTGAGCCCTGGAGTTGGAGGCTGCAGTGAGCTGTGGTCGCACCACTGCCCTGCAGCCTGGGCGACCGAAGGGGGTGGGGGTGCTGGATGTCACCCTCTGTCTGGCCTTAGGAACTGTGGCCACGGAGGCAGGCTGGGGTGAGCTCAGTGGCCCTGAGGGGCCCGGGCCAGCTGTTTGCTCACTGGGCATGGGGCGGGCGCGGCGGCTGGAAGGGAGAGACTGGGATGAGAGAAGCGCGCGGGGCTGCGCGGCTGCACCTCGTGTCGTGCCCGGGCTGGGGGTACCCCTGGACTGGCGCCCCGCGGTCAGCGGTGTTTTAGCGCCACCTTGTGGCCGAGCCGCGTCTGCGCCTGGGGGTGTCCCCGTGCGGGGGCGGGGGCGGGGGCGGGGGCGGGTCGGGGCCCACCTGGCCGGGCTCTGGGGTCCTAGGGAGACGGTGGAGGGCGTGGGGACGCCCCCCTGGCTGCTGTCACACACGGGAACTGTTGTGGCTGTCATGCTCACAGTGTGTGACCCGGTCAGACCCTCGGGGTGCTCACCTGTCCCGCCAGGCTCCCACCCCCCACTAGCCTCATGTGGGGTGGGGGGGTTCACAGCCCAGCCGGGACACCCCCCCCCCCCGCTTGTCCTCCTCCCAGGCCACATCCGGAGCCCCTCCCATCCCCGGCCTGGAGGGGCGTCAGCCTGGAACCTCCCCCAGGTCACCGCTCATACCCCCCCACCCCCCCGCCAGTCCCCCCCAGGCGGGCTCAGGCCACATCCACGCGCCCCCGGACGCCCCTCGGCCCTGAGCCCGGCATGCAAGGCCTATCTCTGCCCGCTCATTCTCCCTGGCTCCAGCAAGAGACCGCGGGGCCGGGGGTGTCGTGCCAGCGCCCCTCGCTCGGGTCCACTGCCGGCCGCCGCCCCCGCCTCGCTCACGGCCCCTCCCGCCTCCGCAGACGCAGAGCGCCATGTACGACGCGGTGTCGGAGCTGCACGCCCAGCACGAGGAGCTCGAGGCCCGCCTGGCCGCCCTGGAGAGCCGGCTGGACGCGCTGGGCGCCTCCCTGCAGGCCCTGCCCGGCCTGGTGGCCCAAGCCATACGCCCGCCCCCGCCGCCCCTGCCGCCCCGGCCCTGCGCCCCGGACCAGGCAGCGCGGAGCCCCCCGAGCCGCTGGGCGCCCGTGGCCCCCTCGGACTGCGGGTGACGGCCCTGCCCGCCACCGGACCTCTCAATCTTGGCCATCGTGTGGCCACCTCCTCCGGGAAGCCCTGTACAGCGGCGCCTCTTGGAGTCCAAGAAGCCGAAGCTGAGTTGGGCTGAGTGGGCCAGGCGCGGGCGGGGAGCCCGGAGCTTCCTCCGGCCACCGCCCCGGCCCTCCCCAGGCCCCCGGCGGGCGCGGGGCAGCGGGGAGGGTCCTTGCTCGTTCCGAATAAAGCGGGACCCACCAAGCGGCTGCCTGTCGTGCGTGGTCAGGGCACACTGGGCGGAGGCGGACGCCCAGCCCGGGCACCAGACGGATGCCTGTGCCCAGCTCTGGCCTGGCCTGGTGGGCTGGAGTTCGGTCTGGGGCAGCTCTCCAGGGACATCCGCCCGCTCCCCCGGGCACCGGCAGACGGGCCCAGCCGGGGCGCGGGTGACAGCGGGCAACGGGCACATCCCTCCCCTCCGACCACCGGCTCCGAGGGCGCCCCCCGTGTGCCAGGCTCCAGCGGGACCCGGTGGGGGAGGCGACCCGGGTGAGGAGGGTCATTCCCTTTTCACTGGATGTGTATTAAGCGCCTGCTGCATACAGGGAAGGTGATGTCAGTTACCACGCCGACTCTCCACAGGAACCTGGCCAGGGCAGGGTGGAGGGAAACTGAGGCTCAGAGAGGTGAAGCTGCCTGCCTGGGGCCACACAGGAAAGAGTGGCAGAGCCGGGGCTTCTGTAGGGGCACCTGGCGCCATCCTGGGCTTAGCGAGACCCCCGCCCCGGGGTGGGCTGGGGACAGGGGCGGGCACAAGTATCACAGAATCGGGCCCTTCCTCTGGGCGTGGGCGCGGGGGCAGCGGGTACCGGCCCCACGCTGAGCCCCGTCGGGGGCGGGGAGGCCCAGCTTCTGGGGAGACTGATCTGGGCTCGGCCTGGGGCGCCGAAGCCTGGCAGCTTCTGATAAGGCCCAGGGTGCCCCGGCTCGGGCGATAGCCGGGCCGCAGGGAGGGTCTGAGGACGCGCCGGCCCTGGTCACACCCACTCACGTTCTGACTCCGCGACCGCCCCGTGCCTCTGGGCAGTGGCTGTCCCCCTGGGGTCCCAGTGGTGGTGTCTCTAGGATGGGGTGACGGGCGAGTCAGCCAGAACCCCCCAGAAAGGGCCAGGCAACTGGTAGGTGCTTAATAAATGCTCTTGCCCTCCCGAGGGCTTACATGGGAGTCAGCCGGGCTCCTCCTAGGCTTTCCACCAGCCCTGCTGTCCGGCTGGGGAAACTGAGGCCTGGCAGGGACGAGGGCTCTCCCGCGGGGCGGAAGCTCCCAGCTCAGTTAAGGGACGTCCCTCGGCGGCCCCCCTGTGCCCGGCGGTAGCTCCTGGGCCTGGAAGGACAGGACACACGAGGTCAAAGCGCCGCCAGCCCAGCCGTAAAGAAACGAGGCCGGCGGGAGCGGGGAGGGGACGGCTCCGAGGAAGCGACCCTGGGGCGCGGCCGGGGCGGCTCTGGCAGTGGAACGGGGCGAGGCTGGAGGTTGGAGTGTCTGGGCCACGGCCGCAGGCGACAGGGAGGCCGGAGGGGAGGCTGGGGCTGGGCCCGGCCAAAGGTCCCCCCGGGTGGCGGCGGGGGACGAGTGAGGCCACAAGGCCGCGCCCGCCACATCCGCCCCGCCTGCCTCTGACTCATCCGCGCCGACCCTACAAAACAGGGCCCGCCCCGCCCCGGGGGACGGCGAAGTCAACAGCGTGGGCGCGCAGGCGACGCGGCCCCGGCGGCCCGGGCGCGTCACGGGGCGGCCGCGGAGGACGAGGAAGTCGGCCGACGGCGCGCCCGCGCGAGTTAGCAGGGGCAGGAGGAGGCGGCCGCGGGGACAGCCGGGCCTGCGAGGAAGGGGCGCCGAGCCCCGCGCGCGCCTCCCGCTGCGTGCCCGGCCCGGCCCCGCCATGCCGGCCGGGGCCGTGCGCGGCTTCGCGCTGGAGCTGGCGCGGGGCCGCGGGCGGCGGCGTTCCGCGGCGGCGAGCGCTGTGCGGCCGGGTGCTGCTGGAGGCGGCGGCGCCGCTGCGCGTGCGGGCGCTCGTGGTGGCGCGCGCGGCGGGGCGGCCACGCGCTGGCTGGAGGGCCGCAGCGTGGGCGCCAACGCCGTGCCCAGCGACCGCGCGGCCGCCGAGACGTACCTGCGGCGGCGGCAGCTACTGCTGGGAGGTGAGGCGCCCGTCCCCCCGCCACCCTCCCCTGCGCCGGGACCCTCCCCCGGGCTGGGCGCCCGCCCGGACGCGGAGCCTCTGAGGTCAGGCGACCCTCCTCAAGGAGCGGGGAGGGGAGGGCGCGCGCCCTAGAGTCTGGCCCCTCCCCTTGGGATGCCCACGCACCCCAGCCGGGACCCCAACTGCCGGGAACCCCTGCCTAGGGCGTCGAGGCCCTCCAGGCTGGGCAGCGGGGAGACCCCTTTCAAAGTCGGGGACCCTCCTATCCAGGCTCCGGGAACCCCTGTGGGGTAGAGTGGGAGGTCCCCCTTACTCTCAGGCCTGCGATCCTCCATTCCCAAAGAAGGCACCCACCCGCCTCACGTGCTACCCAGTGCCGTGCCTCAGTTTACCCAGCTTTGTCGGCAGCTGTGAGTTCTTCCCCGGGGTTAGGAGGAGGGGGTGTCTGGCGGCGTCTGCAGGTGACAGGGTGGAATGCATCCCAGAGCAGGAAGGGACAGGCTGGCCTGCCCGGGCCGCCCTGGAGACCGCTCCCCGCGAAGGCCGACCTCATTATACCCGTCTGCAAAATGGGCGAGGCGGGGCGCAGCTCCGACCGCGGACGGCTGCCTTTCTCCAGCGCTGGGCGCAACAGCCCGCAGCCTCGCAGGCTTGCTCCGACAGAGCAGAGGCGGCGGCGAGGGGCGCCCTCCCTCCCCGGCAGCGGAAACCGGGGAGCGGGGCGCCCGGGCGGGGCAGGAAGGGCCCCCGGAAGCGCTTCCCTCCCTCCGCGACTCAAGAGAAATACTGGGGCCACGCTCGCCCCAGAGTGGCCCGGACACCCACCAGCGGCTTTCTGGAGGGACGGTGCTCGGAGACGCTGTGCGACCACAGGCGGAGCCCCGTCCCTCTCTGGGCCTCTGGAGGTGCATCTCTGAAACGGGTCGAGGGAGGCGCTGGCTCAGTCGTGGCCTCCCTGTCCGGTTCCCTCAGGGCCGCTACACCCCCCCTCCGCCCCCTGCGTCCTCAGGCCTTGCTGCGGCTTGCACTTGGCCCTGGGCGGACGACCCCACATTTCAGCGTGGAAGCCCCTTCTCGCAGGCTGAGCGCTGCTCGTCCAGCCCCTTCGTCCCTGCTCTGGCCCCCGTCACGGGCTGCAGGTGGCTGGGTCTGTTGGTGGCCGCCGCTCACTGAGGGCGCCAAGGCCTTGGGGGTCCCCCGGTGTCGCCTGAGCCGGGCTCCTGAGGGGACGGCCAGGGACGGGGACAGGTTCGAGCGGCTGCTCACCCGGCTGCCACCAGAGAGCGCCGGCGACCCACAGACCGCGCCGAGGCCACTCACTCCCGCAGGAGACATTCTCCGAGTGGCTTTTCTCGAGGGAAACTGAGGCCCAAGGAGAGGGCGCCCTGCGGCCCTGGACCTGGGGGTGCCTGAGCGTCCCCTGCACTCGGCTCCGTCCGTGTGGTGGGGGAGGTGGGTAGGGACAGGGGCCGGGGTGCCCGGAGCGGGCACGAGGGCTGGAGGGCGAAGGCTGGGAAGGAAGGGAGCGGTGGAGGCGACGGCACCGAGGCGCCACCGAGGGACGGCGCGCGCGGGGGACGGGCTGGGGCCCGGGGAGCGCGGCCCTTGCAGGGCTGGAGCAAGGGCGGCCGCGCGGCGACCCGGGCGCGACCCTGACCCTTGTCCGGACTCCACAGACGCGGAAACCGGGGCCCCCAGAGGGCGTCACCCGCCCCGGGTCGCCCGGCCGAGGGGCAGCGGGCGCAGAGTGCAGGGCGGTCGGTCCCACCCGGCCCTTCCCGTCCCTGCTGGCGCAGGGGCTGCCGGCTCCCAGGCGTCACCGGGACCAGGCGGGCAGAGTGCTCTGCTGGGTGACCTCGGGCCTGGGCCCTGCCTCCGGGCCTCAGTTTCCCCTCTTGACTCCCGGGGTCCGCGAGAGACCCGCCCTGGCCGCCCCCGGCTCTGCAGCTTAGCCCCCGGGCCGGGGTGGGGTGGGCTGCGCCGGGCGTTTGTTATTTTCCTCCTCGCCCGGGCAGAGCCACGCCCCCGTGGCGCTATTGGTGAGATCCCTTCCGGGGGCGTGGCTGCCGTCTCGCCCCGCCCCCCCGCCGCCCTGCCGTATAAAAGCGGCGCCGCGCGTGCGGCGCTGGGGAAATCGTCCGGTCCCGTCGGCGAGTGCGCGTGCGCGGGAGCGTGCGGGGCGTCTTCGCGTCCCGAGGCTGCGGGGCCGCGGGTTCGAGGCCAGGGCGGCGCGCGTCGTGCGTTCGCAGCCCCGGCGCGGCGCGATGCTGTTCGACAAGGTGAAGGCGTTCGCGGTGCGGCTGGACGGCGCGAGCGCGGGCGCAGAGCCGGTGTTCAGCGGCGGCCAGGCCGTGGTGGGCCGCGTGCTGCTGGAGCTGGCGGGCCCGGCGCGCGTGGGCGCCCTGAAGCTGCGCGCCCGGGGCCGCGCCCGCGTGCACTGGACCGAGTCGCGCAGCGCGGGCTCGAGCACCGCGTACACGCAGAGCTACAGCGAGCGCGTGGAGGTCGTGAGCCACCGCGCCACGCTGCTCGCGCCAGGTACCGCGGCGGGGACCCCGGCCCCGCGCGCCAGGCGTGCGCCCCCCTCCCCCAGGCCCGGGGCGGGGACCCCCGGGACGCCCCCGCAGCCGCTGAGCCGCCCCTTCTTGCTCCCACCTGCAGACACCGGTGAGGCCACGACGCTGCCGCCCGGGCGCCATGAGTTCCCGTTCAGCTTCCAGCTGCCCCCGTAAGTCCTCCGGGGTAGGGTCTTGGGCGCCCCGGCCCGGCGGCCCCTGACCGGCCCGCGGCTGCAGCGCTGGGGGCCTCTGGGCCCCAGGCGTCCCGAGGAGCGGGCCAGAGTCTCTGCGTGTCTCCTTCCTTCCCCTCGGTCTCGGCTCGCACCTCGCCCCCGCTGAAGCTCCTCCGCTCCGCCCCCCAGGACCCTGGTGACCTCGTTCGAAGGCAAACACGGCAGTGTCCGCTACTGCATCAAGGCCACCCTGCACCGGCCCTGGGTCCCAGCGCGCCGGGCGAAAAAGGTATTCACCGTCATCGAGCCCGTGGACATCAACACGCCTGCCCTGCTGGTGAGCCGCGACTTCGGGGCAGGCAGGGTGGGAGTGTTGGAGGCGGGGGCCTGGCTGCTGGATCGCTGGGGGGCTGACGAAGTTGGGGGTCACGGGTGCACTCTGGTGGGGAGGCAGGCCCGCGTTGGGGATGCCTGTGGAAGCCAGGGGAAACTGGGTCCCGGCTGCGCCAGTTTGCTGTGTGGCTCTGGGAAAGCGTCCTGCCCTCTCTGAACCTCAGCCGCCTTGTCTGTGAGATAGGCCGCAGCTGGGGCATAGTGAGCACTAAATCGCACAGCGACTAGCTAGGCTCGTCGGCTTCGTTTCCAGCTTCATGGGATGGGCGGCATCTCCCCCCCGCTCCGGGTTACAGGCGGTCAGTTCCTGGGCTGTTAGGAAGGAAGCCAGGCCCTGCCCAGCGCCCCCGTCAGCTGGGGTGCGTGGGGAAGGCCACAGGGTCAGCTCAGGGTGACCCACTCGCGACCTCCTCTCCACCCCTGCAGGCTCCCCAAGCCGGCGCTCGGGAGAAGGAGGCGCGGTCGTGGTACTATAACCAGGGCCTCGTCTCGCTCTCGGCCAAGATCGAGCGCAAAGGCTACACGCCAGGTAGCGGCGGGCGGCGGGGGGGCGAGGCGGCCGGCGGGGGACCGGCGCAGGGCCGCAGGTGCGGGGACTGACCCGCCCCCGCGCGCCCCGCAGGCGAGGCGATCCCCATCTTCGCGGAGATCGACAACGGGTCCCGGCGCCCGGTGCTGCCGCGCGCCGCCCTGGTGCAGACGCAGACCTTCCTGGCCCGCGGCGCGCGCAAGCAGAAGCGGGCGGTGGTGGCGAGCCTGGCGGGCGAGCCGGTGGCCCCGGGGCGGCGGGCGCTGTGGCGGGGCCGCGCGCTGCGGATCCCGCCCGTGGGGCCCTCCATCCTGCGCTGCCGCGTGCTGCACGTGGACTACGCGCTCAAGGTAGGGCGCGCGGGGGCGCGGCGGCGGCGCGGGGCGGGGCGGCAGCGGGGTCAGCGCGCGCCCCCTCCGCAGCGGGAGGGCAGGGCGGGCCCGCGGGCACCCTCCATCACGCTCCTTCCTCCAGGTCTGCGTGGACATCCCCGGCGCGTCCAAGCTGCTCCTGGAGCTGCCGCTGGTCATCGGCACGGTGCCCTGCATCCTATCGGACAGCCCGATCGTACCGCGTGGGCAGCCACCCAGCGGCCAACGGCCTCCTACGCAAAAGGGCGCCGCGGAAAGCACGTGGGTGGCCAGGAGCACCCGGGATTCGGGCGAGGGCACCGGCCTGGCCGCTGCAGAGCCCGCCCTTGTCCCCGGCCCCCAAGGCACCCTCTGTGCCCTCACGCCCCGGCTCTCCATTTCAGCCCCCCCTGAGTACTCGGAGGTGGTGGCCGAGGAGGAGATGGTGGCCTCCGGGCAGAGCCCCTCCCTGTCCCTGCAGGACCCGGACGTGAGCCTCGATGGCCCTTTCTTCGCCTTCATCCAAGAGTTCCGCTACCGCCCGCCGCCCCTGTACTCCGAGGTGAGCTCCCGGCTCTGGGGACCCTGCGACAAGTGTGAGACACACACAGGAGGTGGGGTTCGCTTCGGAGATGGGGTCTCGCTCTATTGCCCAGGCTAGAGTGAGTGCATGGCATCAGCCTCGCTCACAGCAACCTCCAACTCCTGGGCTCAAGCGATCCTCCTGCCTCAGCCTCCTGAGTAGCTGGGACTACAGCCGGCGCGCACCATGCCCCGGCTAATGTTTGTATATATATTTAGTTGGCCAATAATTTCTTTCTATTTTTTAGGTAGAGACATGGTGCCTCGCGTCGTTGCTCAGGCTGGTCGTCGAACTCCTGACCATTGAGCGATCCTCCCTGCCTTGGCCTCTGGGATGCTGGGACAAGACAGGCTTGAGCGCCGTGCCCCGGCCCGGGAGGGGTGTTCCGAGGCCTGTCGAGCCCCTCCCCCTCCCCAGGCTTAACGAACTCCCTCCCCAAGGAGGAAAAATCCGAGACCCGCCCTCGGGCGCCGAGCGGCCGCGCTGCATGACCTGAGCGGCAGACCCACCTCGGCCGCCAGGTTGCTCCTGGCCATGGTGATCGTGGGGAGCAGCGGGACTAAGCGCCGCCCGCCCGACCGCGCTGAAGTTGGGGAAACCGAGTCTCCCAGCGGCGGGAGCAAGGCTGCTCCGACATCACCGGACAGAGGCGCGGGGCCGGAATCCGGCTTCCCCGGGCCGGCTGAGAGGCATCGAGACGCAGCCCGGCCTGCAGGCCGTGCCGGGGTCGCCCCGGGAGCCCTCGGTCTGGGAGAAACAGAGCCGGAGATAGACACCTCCGGCCTTGTGGAACCAGAATAAGAGACCCGAGGCTCGGAGGGTCCCGCGGGGAAGCACAGAAGGCTTCCTGGAGGAAGGAGCATTTTAGCTGAGGCTTTGTCGTAGGAGTAGGAGCTCAGCAGGCGGACAAACGAGAAGTTGGAGAAGGTCAGAGCTGAGTGATGATGCCTGGAACCCACCCGGTTCACCTTGGAACCGGGGGCTCAGAGGGCCTCCGTGGAGGCCACACAGTGACGTCCAGCGGGCAAGAGGGTCCCCGGAACGAGGCATTCGGGGAGGCCGGCTGTCGGAGCTGTGTGGGCCGGCCTGGGGGGCAGGGGCAGCGGCCTGTGCAGACTTTGCAAGCCGGGGAGTCCAGGCCCCGGCGGGCGCTGCCCGAGAGCTCCTGCAAGCGCTCGGGGCCAGGCAAGCCGCCCGGGTGTTCTGTGGCCCGGGGCCACCCAGGTCCAGGACAGGCGAGACCAGACGAGTAACTTGCAAAGTGAGGACCTTGGGGCCCCCGTGCAAGGATCGAGGACCACCAGACAGCGACCGTGGAGCATGACGCCCGGGCCTGGGGACAGAGGTCAGCCCGGGTGACACGGGACCAGAGTGCTTCTGGAGGTGCCCTGGGCCCTGGAGAGAAGCACTAAGGGGCCGCCGGACGGGCCCCCAGCGGCAGCGTCCCAGCCGCGGCCGGGGCTGGACCCCTGCCCGGGACTCGGTGGTCTCCCTGCGCCTTAAGGAATCAACCCTCTTTTGTACAATTATTTTTTTAAAAAAATAAATAAATAAAAGTGTGGAGAAAGAGACTGGGCCTTACGGGTTGGTTTATTTCCTTAAGGAACTAGGGTCGCCTGGGCTGCTGGCCGGGGTCACCGGCGCGGGGGCTGGGCAGGGTCACCTCGGTGCGGGAAGACCCCGCCGGAGCCGGCTTTGGCTTTATTCAGGTGACGCTGGCACTCCGTGGAATCCGCCACCTCCCTTGCATTTAGTACGGCCACAGCCTTGTGCCCCCAGCTCCTCCGTGCATCCGGCTCCAGAACATTCCATCCCTGCTAAGTGGGGCCTCCTAGCTCACTAGCAGTCACTCGCCGCCCCCGGGCCCGGCAGTGGACCCGACTCCGCGGCTTTGCCTGCTCCGGGCGTCTCCTATAGAACAAATCCCCTTCGCCGCCTGGTTTCTCTCGCTCCGCGCCGTGTTTTCGAGGTTCGGGCCCGGGGACGCGAGTATTAGACCCTCGCGCCTTTTTTTTTTTTTTTGAGACAGAGTCTCGCTCTGTTGCCCAGGCTAGAGTGAGTGTGGTGGCGTCAGCCTTGCTCACAGCAGCCTCAGAACTCCTGGGCTCAAGCCGATCCTGCTGGGCCTCAGCGCCCCCGACGTAGCCTGGGACTCACAGGCATGCGCGACCACACCCGGCTAATTATCATATATATATTACTTAGTTGGCCAATAAATTTCTTTCTGTTTATAGTAAGAGACGGGGTCCTCCTGCCTAATTGCTCAGGCTGGTTTTGAACTCCTGACCTCGAGCGATCCTCCTGCCTCGGCCTCCCAGAGTGCTGGGACTACAGGCGTGAGCCGCCGCGCCCGGCCCGAGCCTTGCGCCTTTTTATGGCTGGGTGACATTCCACTGTACGCTCACGCCACGCCGTGCCGCCCCGCTCGCCCGCGAACGGGCATTCCGGCTGTTTCCACGCGTTGGCCATTGTGAATCTTCCTGCTGGGGACGTTTGTGTACAAAGATATCTTTGTTTTTGTTTTTCTTTAGACACGGGGTCTCGCTCTGTCGCCCACACTGGAGTGCAGTGGCGCAACCACAGCTCGCTGCAGCCTCCAACTCCTGGGCTTGAGTGATCCTCCTGCCTCAGCCTCCCGAGTAGCTGGGACTACAGGCATGCGCCACCATGCCCGGCTCATTTTTCTTTTCTTTTTTCTTTCTTTTTTTTAATAGAGATGGGGGTCTCGCTATATTTCCCAGGCTGGTCTTGAACTCCTGGCCTCAAGTGAGCCTCCCGCCTCAGCCTCCAAAAGCGCTGGGATGACAGGTGTGAGCTGCCACGCCCGGCCTTTAAGATCTCTTTGGATACTCTCTGAGCTCTGAGGCAGTGGGGGCAGAGCCAGGCACACCCGGGGCCGGAGGCTGGGAGGTCCGGCGAGGGCTCTGCTCTCTGTGAGGCCGCGGCAGGCGGGTCACTTGCCTCTGAGCCTCGGTTTCCTCGTCCGAGACTTTGGGACGCACAGGCGCGGGACACTCAATCACCACCCCTCTGTGGCCTGAGGGTGGGTCCTCACTTCCACGCGACCTCCCTGGTCTGGCCTCCAGCCCTGGGGAGCCCGAGGGGCCCAGGCTGAGGGGAGGCCCCCACATGGCCCAGCCAGCCGAGCCCAGACCGGCGGGCTCGGGAGGGGGTGAGCTCCCCGTCACCCGGGGTGTGCGAGACACCGGATCCCCATTTCCACATCCGAGTCCCCACACAGAGATGCTCCCGTGGTGTTTATTCCCACGGCGGGTGTGGGCGCGGTTCTCCAGTCCCCCCACCCCCAGGTGGCGGCGGACTAGGGAGGCCAAGACATTCCGTGTCCTCAGGACTCCGGGCGAGTGTGGGGAACCTGATCCCCAAGGAGACCTTTCTGGGGCAGACAGACGGTGACCCCGGGGAGCCGCCCCGCCGTCCCGGACACAGGGAGGGGCCCAGGGAGCCCAGGGGAGGGCGGCCCATTTACATCAGATACAAAACAAACCCCTCCCTCCCCCTCCCCCGGGGCCCCTTTCCCTAGCCCACTAGGCGCAGTTTCACTCGGCCGCCCCCCGCCCCCGGGCAGTGAAACCGACCCCCGCGGCTTTGCCGCTTTCCCCGGCGTGCTTTCCATAGAAAACAAACCCCTTTCGCCGCTCTGCGTTTCTCTCGCCTTCCGCGCCCGGCGTGTTTTCGAAGGTCGGGGGCCCCGGGGACCTCGAGTATTTAATTAACCATTCGCGCCTTTTTTTTTTTTTTTGAGACCAAAGTGTCGTTTCGCCTTCTGTTGCCCAAGGCTATGAGTGGAGTGTGGGCTCAGGGCTGCTCACAGGCAGCCCTTGTCAGACTGTCCGGCTCCAGGAAGCGAACCTTGGCTGCACCTCAGGGCCTTCCCGATGGTAGGCGGGGGTGACTAACAAGGCATGGCGGCCCCAACCACCAACCCGTAATTATATATAATATATTATTAGGTTGGCCAATTATTTTCTTTTGTTATAGTAGAGAACGTTTTGGTCCTCTCTTTGCTTTTCAGGCTGGTTCGAACTTCCCGAACAACCTCGAGGGGGCCAACCTCCGCCCTCGCCTCCATGGGTGCTGTGATCAAGGCGGTGAGCCGCCGCGGGCTCCCCGGGGCGAAGGCCCTGGCCTTTTTGATGGCTTTGTCATGACATTCAAACCTGTCCGCTACCCGCCACGCCGTGCGCCCCCGCTCGGCTTGCGGAGGGCATTTGGCTGGTCCCAACTGGGGCCATTGGTCTTTCCTTGCTGAGGGACGTTTGTGTACAAAAGATATTTTCTTTGTGTTTCCCTACAAACGTTTGTCCGTTCTGTCGCCTACCACTGGAGGCAGTGCCACAAACCCACAAGCCTCCGTTGCACCTCCCAATCCGGGGCAAGCGTATTTCCCCTTGCCCTCGTCCTCCGAGTAGTGGGACTTTACAGCAGCCGCCCACCCCATGCCCGTTCATTTCTTTCTTTTTCCCTTTTTCTTTTTTTTTTAATAGAGAGGGGGGTTTCTCTGCTATAATTGGCCCAGGCTGGGTCTTGAACAACCTCCTGGCCTCAAGTGAGGAAGCCTTTTTCCCGCCTCGCCTCCCAATAGCGCTGGGATGACAGGTGAGCTGCCTTTCTACCCTCGGCCTTTATAAGACTCTTTGTACCTCGAGCTCTGAGGCACGTGGCAGAGCAGGCGCACCGGGGCCGGAGCTGGAGTGTCCGGCGAGGGCTCTGCCTCTGTGAGGCCGCGGCAGCGGTCACTTTGCCTCTGAGCCTCGATTCCTCGTCTGAGACTGGGACGCACAGTCGCGGGACACTCAATTCTACCACCCCTCTGGTGGCCTGAGGGTGGGTTCCTCACTCCACGCACCTCGCCTGGTCTGGCCTCCAGCCCTGGGGACCCGAGGGCCCAGCTGAGGGAGGCCCCCACGTGGCCAGCACGAGCCCCGACCGTCGGGCCGGGAGGGGGTGAGCTCCCGCACCGGGTGGTTGCGAACACCGGATCCCATTCCACATCCGCGTACCACAGCACTGGGAGGACGCCCCGCAGTGTTTATTCCACGGCGGGGTGGCCGGTTCTCAGTCCTCGTCCACCCCCAGGTTGGCAGCGGAGG